TAAAGGGCCAGCGCGCCCGGTGCCGAGCCCTTAAAGGGCCAGCGCGCCCGGTGCCGAGCTCTTAAAGGGCCAGCGTACCTTGTGCTGAACTCTTAAAGGGGCAGAACACTCGGTGCCGAGCCCTTAAAGGGCCAGAGCACCTCTTGCTGAGCTCTTAAAGGGCCAGAGCACCTCTTGCTGAGCTCTTAAAGGGCCAGCATGCCGCAGGCTCCCTGTGTTGGAGCGAGAGGGAAGAGCTGTTTCTCTCCTTGCAGCAGCCGGGTCCCAGCTCCCAGTCAAGGGCCAGGCCTGGGTGAAGCTGGGGACAAGGGGAGCTGCTCACTGCGGCCACAAGCCTGGTGGGAGGGTGGAGGCGAGACCCCAGCTTTGGGCATGACCAGCACCGTCGTGGTGCTGCCCCGATGGATTCGGGGCTCACCCCCTTCCCATGGTATCTCCCTGGGATGCTCCGTCTGCATCCAGCTCCACATCCAATGTATAAAAGTGGGTCCTGTCCCCATGGCCATGGATGGAGCACACCCGAAACCCAAACACCATCCCAGCGGGGAGGTGCTGGCACGGGGATGGCTGCTGGCTGCGTGTCGGTGAAGGACTCGTCCTCAGGCACTTCCATGCTTGTCCTTAATTGGTTTTGGGCTTTTATTTTCTGGCTGAGATGTGGAAATCAATCAAAGGTGTGAGTCACTTGGGAGCAAACTGCTCCTTGGGAATGTCGAGGTGGTAAATATGCAATTAATTAAACGTGGTAGCATCCATCACACCTCCTCTGGTCCATGGCTGTAGGCATCGGTTGGGCTGACGGACGGGGGTGCCAGCTCCATGTTTAATGTGTTTCCTAAAAGCAAATTGGGCTGTTAAAAATTCATCCCTCCCCTTGGCTTGTGCCTGTTCCCGGCAGTTAAATAATGGGGTGATTGACTCTGTGTTCACATGGGGAGGACGTTGTGTTCTGCTGCCTGTCGCTGCAGCATCCATCACCTTGAGGTGCCCGTCCGCGGGTGCTGAGTCCTCCCCACAGCTCCCAGCCCCATGGGGCAGCCCGTGGCTGCTGGGGGTGATCCATAGGGCACAGCACTGCCAACACTGGGCTGAGCCCCCTTGGTGGGACTGAGCCCTGTTCCTTCTTACTCATCACATCTAGGGGCAAATACAAGAAGCATGTGGAAAACCTGGTGGAGGCTTTTCCTGGTGGGAAACCTGCATGGGGATGGTTGTCCCAAGGCAGATGAGGGCTGCCCGGGGATGTCAGTGCTGTCCCTGTGCAGCCCCAGCTCTCTGCTGAGGACTCTGTTTCATGGGTTGGTGAGATGCAGTTTGGATGTGGCTGCGTGATGGGTAACCCCGACCTACTGCTGCCCAGTGAGAGTGGGCTTGAGCAGAGAGAGGGGAAGTTTAGCAGGAGCAGGTCTTCAGCACCGGCTGGTTCAGGGTTTTAGGGTGTATGGGGCTGTTGATGTGTTGCTGCTGAGCAAGGGTGGTCTCTCCATGGCACTGACCGAACCTGTTCCCCCCAAGGGCTGGTGCACAATGGCCCACAGCCAGTCTCGGAAGCGATCACGGAGCAGGAGCAAAAGCAGTTCTCGGAGCAGACAGGAGAGGAAGGAGAAGAAAAGGAGGAAGAGCAGCAAGGACTCGCAGCAGGGCAGCAGCTCTCCTCCGAGGAAGCGGACATCTGGGTGTCACAGACACAAGTCGAGCTCAGCAGCAGCTAAGGAAGGTAGGGGAGAGGCCCAGGACCTTGTGTTTTCACCCCGTGTTCTGGGTGCAGGGAGAAGAGGGTCCCTGCCTTTAACTAAATTGGTGTCTGTCACCTTGCTGTGCACTTTGTGCCCATTTCAGTCTCATGCTGACAGGCGTGGAGCCCTGCAGCCCCTCGTGTGCTGGTGTGGCAGTGAGGCACCACGCGCTGTGATCTGTTCAGGTTCTTTGCCCCACCGTCTGGGGGCTTTGCTGTTCAGGCCAGACAGAAACCAGGCTGGGAGGGGGGTAAGCAGCATCCCTGCTGCCATGGAGCCAGGGCTGCTCCACTCAACCTCTTCTTATATATTGCAGTAAAGAAGAAGGAAAGAAAGGACAAAAAGAAGAGGAAGGCAAGTACCTCTTCCTCTGAGACAGCGTCTTCATCCACCAGCTCCTCCTCATCTTCCTCTTCTTCCAGCTCCTCTTCTGATGACTCCAGTGACAGTGACTCCAAAACAAAGAAGAGTCGACACAGCAAAAAAAAGCGAGCAAAAGAGAAAGACAAGAAGAAGAAGAAGAAGAGAATAAAGAAGAAATCAAAAAAGAAGTCAAAGGAAAAGGCTAAGGAGGAGAAAGCCAAGGGAGAATCAGTGCCCGGCCCCTCGCTGGAGCAGTGGCAGAAGGAATCGCTGGTGGACTCTGGACCAGGTAATGATGGTGTTTGCCTAACACAGGCATCGTGCTGGGGAAAGATGCTCACACAGTGTCCTTCCCTGTGGGATGTCTGAGGGAAGCAGGGCTGTGCACAGGGAGGAGCTCCAGGCTCTCCTCCCTCCTACGTATTGTGGCCACCTTCGAGCCACATCAAGCAAATATAAGGGGCCACGTTCAGAGAGTGATTTGTGAAGTGTTTTGATGTAGTTCATAGATGTGAGCGGGGCACAAAGGTGCCAAATGGAAGGACAAAGTCAGCAGTAACACGCTGGAAAAGCTGGTGCTGGCTTTGGGATGGGAAGTGGCCCTTCCCTTGCATGGTTCATCACTGAACCCCCAGTACTGCCAGGAAATAGGTGCAGCACGTGTGTCTGTTCAGGCACGGTGCTGTGCCCCTCAGCAGGAGCTGGCCCCTGTCATGGCTCTAACTGATGTATTCCAGTTTTGACAGATGAACAAAAGTCCCGAATCCAGGCTATGAAGCCAATGACAAAGGAAGAATGGGATGCGAGGCAGAGCGTCATAAGGAGAGTGGTGGATCCTGAGACAGGGAGAACCAGGTATGATCTCTGGGGAAAAGGAAGGCGGGTTCTCCATCCCCATCCATGCTGTGTGGGTTGAATCCTGGAGGGTGCCTGTCCATGGCACTGCAGTACCATAGGTGGACCCAAGTCCCCTTGAGCAGCAAAGGCTGATCCCTCACAGATCCCCCCTGGTCAGGCCTGGTGTAACTTCCCCCCAAAAGTGATGTTTTTGACACCAAACTGTGCTGGGGCTCCATGCAAGGAGCACCGGGCTGTGTCCCAGCCAGGAGCTGTGGGATGCGGACACAGAGCACTCTGCTCCTGGAAGCAGGAGGTTTGTTCCTTGCACTGTGACAAGTTCAGCTTGTCCCTGTTAAATGGGGCCGTGCAACGGGGGCAGAACAGGAACCAGGGGGGTGACTGACACCTCCTCACCCCACTGCCTCATGCACTTGCCTTTCAGCTCCGAAGCACTTGGCCCCAGTTAGCACCAAGGTACAGGTGAGGAGGGAGTGTGTGCCCCTTGGGGCTACAGCCAACAATCACCCCGAAGTTCATTTGGCTGCCAAACAGAAATGACCCAGTTTTTAATAAACTGCATCCTCCCAGCAAGCAGCAAACACCACGCTGAAGAGAACTGGGTATGACAAGTCCAGTCTTAAAATAGAAGGCAGCCTGCGGGGCTCAAGGGAGGTGTGGAACAAAGGTCAGTTCCCTGTAAGGCATGTAATGAAGACAATTAAGTTTCTGCTCATGGCTGGAGGGGTGAGCTGCTTGGAACTTGCTTGGCAAGATGCTCTCCGGTCTGGCCTGGCTGCCTTGCAGGCTCAGGCTGGCTCCTCGTTCTGAATGGCTCAGCACTTCCCTGGGGCAGCCAGGACCAGACCTGAACCTGCGTGTGAGAAAGGGAAGAGGTTTTTGCAGGGCTTGGGGTCACTCCTGGTGACTCTGAGGCCTGGGGCAGGGATGGCTGGCCCGTGCAGGGGGAGGCTGATTTCTGTGGGGAGCACATCTATCCTTGCTGCAGTGTGGTGACATCAGTCCCTCAAGAGAAGTGGAAAAGCCTGACATGATATTTAAGCAACAGAAGTCACATAATAGAACTTCAGGGGTAGGTCATCACTGGTCTTACCTAGAGGTGCAAGTGCTCAGCACTTGGTCCTGTGCACGTACAGCTGTGAAGGAGCTGATGGCAAAACACTGCCCATGGTGGGGTCAGCACCGCCTGGGAACCAGCGTGGCTGGTGGTAGTCTTCATGGCCCTTGGGCCTGTGCTTGTATTCCAGGCTTATTAAAGGAGATGGGGAAGTACTGGAAGAAATCGTCAGCAAGGAGAGACACAAGGAGATTAACAAGGTAATGGGAATGTGCCGCCAGGGAGCAGTGCACCCAGGGGCATTGCTGCACCCCTGCTGCACCCAGGGCCATTGCCTTTCCTCCCCTGAGGACCCCACTGACTCTACCAGGGCAGGCAGCTCTGCAGGGGCTGCGGGTGGTCCTTCCTCCTCGGGCAGGCGATGCTGTGAGCACCCGTGTCTCCCCTTTTGCAGCAAGCCACCCGTGGGGATGGGCTGGCCTTCCAGGCGAGGACGGGGCTGATGCAGTGAGCACACGAGC